TCCACCGCAACTATCGCAACGAGCGCGGCACTGAAAGCGATCTCTTCCTACGAGATCAAATCGCTTTTGGTGCAGGAGTGCAGAGAACGATTGAACAACCTAGCTACAAAGAACCGGGTGCACCTACTCTGCGTGCCCGGTCATAGGGGCATACCCGGCAACGAACTGGCTGACGAGCTAGCCCGCTCCGCAGCCTCCACCAGTATGGTTGGGCCCGAACCATTCATTGCGGTGGGACCCCACACTGGGAAGCAAGGAAGAAAGAGTGTGCAGGGAAAGGTATTGGCAGCGAGMGCACGGTATTCGTCATGCCAAGCTGCTAGTTGGGGGGTATAACCAAAAAAGATTTAAATCGTTAATCAACCTCCCAAGAAACAAACTCAGGATCCTGGTTGCATTCTATACCGGTCACTGTTGGCTGAAAAGGCACTTAACTAACATGGGCCTATCATCTTGCGHYAACTGTCGGTTTTGCGACAGGGACCCTGAAACCCCGGAGCACCTGCTAATCGACTGCATTGCAGTCTGTAGGCGCAGGTCGAAGGCCCTTGGAGCCATGTTTCCGGATAGGGATCACATCACCTCGCTAGCACCCAGCAAAATACTGGACTTCGTCAATATGCTGGGGCTAAGCRAGYCCCTGTGAGTTAGGAGAGGGCACAATAGACCTATGGTCGCAGTGCATTCCTCAGTTATGTATCTATCTATATATTATGCACAAAGTTTATTTTCTTTCGTTTATTCTCTCTTGCTCTTCGATTGTGGTTCATTTACAATGGCACGATTCCGATTACTTTGGCGGAGGGTAAAAAAAACCGAATTTCCGTATAAATGGGATATGTTCGGATAGGGCAGATCCTCCAGAGGAAGAATATCCAAAAATAATATAAAAATTATTTATATTTTTTAAAATTTTCACGATTAAAAGTTCAAAAGTATGCACTAATAACACAAGGTATTTCTCTATCTTCCATTGAAACAAGTTCACATTTCAATTTCATTTTGTAATATTTCACCTAAATTTTGTAACGTGGCTTTTACCACCTTACAATAATTTACGCCAACACTGTACATCATCTATTAGTCATACCAATGTAGTCACATAGTCTGCACTTCTGCTTTCCACCATTGACCAAAGCTTCACACATAGTGCTTTCCACTTTCCACTGCCACGGCACACATAGTGCTTTCCCCCATACTAAACTTCACCTCACTGTACCGACCAAAGCTGCGCCGTACTGYTATATAAGCAAGCACTTCGCACCGAATGCGATCATTTCTTACAGCAGCCAGCCAGCGGTCGGACAGCAGCAAGCAACAACAGGCAGGGGTAAGTGGTGTAAGTAGTTGAGCACGCAGTAGAAGTTGGGTAGTTTGTTGATATTCGCAGGCATTGCGTTGAAAAGGTATTACACTTCGGTGTGATCCCAGTGCTCGCAATGCCTCCGCTTCACACAATAGAATTAGGTATTTCGCAGGCATTGCGTTGAAAAGGTATTACACCTCGGTGTGATACCAGTGCTCGCAATGCCTCCACCGTATCACGTAATTGATGTCTTCGTAGTGAGCGCCCGTAGTTTTCGTTGCGCTACGATACCGCGACATCACAGCTGCGCTGCCTCGAACAGCGTCACGAGCGCAGCCCGCACACTAGTGCACCGACACTATACCTGCGCGGCCTGGAACACCGTCAGTACCCCTGCTTGCACACGATAGTGCACCGTTACCTGACCAGAGAAAGACGCTGTGCTAAAGACAGTTGCTAACCGTAGGTCAACGTGTCCGGTTGACATAACTAAGTGCCATACAGTCAGCACCGCATCTGAAAGTGACTACTCCTCACCAGACTACCGAAGGACCACCACCTTGCGGTAATTATCAACACGACTTCGACAAGAACCACCGCCTGGCACACCAAATCACAGCGATACTCCACCTGACTCGCGATATACATATAAGCTGGTCTGGCTGTCCACATAAGGGGTGTGGATTTCATCACAAAAAGTGAACATTTTATTTGCTAAGGGTTCATGGCTCCCAAGGCTGACCCTGGAGCGGCTGAGCATACCTCAGCTATAGACGAAACCCCATTACAATTTATTAATTTAAAAATCACTTAGCAAACTTGGCGTTGCAAAGGTTAGAATGTTTACAATTATGAGGAAAACGAGCGTTGCCATATCTTAAACACCAAATATGTAGGATTCTTAACGATTTTTCTTTGTTTGTTTTTTTTGCGTGATTCTTTTTCTAGATTAATTATAACAAAAAATACTTTCTAACATTTTTTAAGTCACATATAGTATGTATATGTATAATATGTGATTTATATTTAATAAACACATATAATTAAAACCCTATGAAAATATAGTATTATAAAATTTATGTCATATCATGTCGGGATGACTGAAGTAGTGGATATAAAAGTTAAAAATATAACTATACAATTGGAAAAACATGAAAACAATAGTTTAATTTTTGAACTTTAAATGCAAATATCGCAAAAACCATAAATCAGCGGCAACTATATATACTTTTTTATTAATCTGGAGGACCTCCTATATCCAATAACCCCGAAGTCGGGGGATGCTATTCTAAAATTTACTTTGGAGTACACCTTGTATGTGCATATATTTTCTTGATCTGTAGGACCTTACACACGAAATACGAAAAGTTTTTTATCATCGGATACTTGTACCAACTTTACAGACTAAAAAAAATAGAAACTCGAGACATTACAAAGCTCGAACCACTTTACCTTTTCGATTTCTTCAAATAATACAATCATTTTCTCAGGTCCTGATAAAATACCATGTATTAAAACCACTGGCTTGTAAGTAGCCCCATTCCATATCAATCCGAATAAAAGCAAAAAAACTAGATTCATTATTGAATACGCTTGTCACACTAAAAAACTGGTAATTTATTATCGGGTTTTACCACATTAGAGAGATATGGCTCTCAGTTGTTTTTAGGGCAATATTACATATTAAAACTCCATACCCGTAACATAACATCCTGACTAGCTATTTATAAAGTCGTAACGCTTTTTTGCTGTCAATATTGCCTTGGTCTTATATCGCAAATCAGCAGTTTCATACAGATACGAGTACAATTCTCGAGTAAATTTTAGATTAGCATCCCTAGATTTCGGGTTTAAAGTGGGTATGTACGGATAAAGGAGGTCCTCTAGATCAATAATATATAATTATAATATATATGGTTCTGCTGTCTTCTGGTTTTGGAGATATTTGCATTTAAATTTCAGAATATCAACTATTTAATACGCATGTTTCTCAGATTATAATGAATTTAACACTTAATTTTTTAACTTTTATGTATATCCACTAACACTTCACGAATTCGTTTAAAATTTTGTTCACACAATAACAAAAGGGCTGCATTCTAACTAATAATCAGTTTTACCTCACGTACATATTTCAAAATAGCATAGAATTACTTTCTGCTTTGGCGCTTCAAAAAAAAAAACCATGGTCGGACCAACACCTGGGCGTRAAAAGTTCTTTCCCGTTGAATTCCTTTCTAAAAAATAACCCTGGCCAAAGCAACACCGGGATTTAATAAATATTCTGAAAAATGTAACATTACTCATTACACGATAAGGAATTTTTTATGGACGGTATAATTATTCTGTAGGATTATTTTTATTCCTTTACATAATATGGTAACACTAATTCTTTACTTGTTCGCAGCCATTTTCTTATTGTATAAGTAAATGGATTTCAACTAATGTTTAATATGAAATTAAAGTTATTTTTATACTATTTAGTATAAAATAAATAGTTCGAAACGAATGAGTGATATGGATTCGAAAGTTAAAAATATAAGTACAAAATTAATTATAAATTTGAGATACGCGTTTTTAAATAGTTGAATTTTTGATATTTGGCACGATTGCGATTACTTTGGCGGAGGGGCAAAAAAAACCGAATTTCCATAGAAATGGGGTATGTACGGAGTACATATATTTTTATATTTAAAATTTGAGTTTCGGATATAAAGTGGTTATATTTGTTGGTTATCATGCACTCATATTGAAACAAAATTTGAGTTTTCGTTATAAAATGGATAAAATTTAATTGTTAAATCTGTCAGCGATTTCCATTTATTTTTCATTTTACATTGCCTTGTATTTGCGGTGACGATACATATGTTTTTATATTTAAAATTTCAGTTTCGGATATAAAGTGGTTATATTTGTTGGTTATCATGCACTCATATTGAAACAAAATTTGAGTTTTCGTACTGTACTGTATACTGTATACTTTACACTTTATTACGTAATATTATTATATAATATTACTTATACATATGTATATATAATATTATTATATAATATTACTTATTTGCTTAATAAATTTAAAAAAGAAAATATCCATATGCATGAATAGAGAAATTTTTGCGAAAAAGAGGAATTTCAGCGAATTGCCTTATCATCACATGGCAGCGCTCCATTTCGTCGTAATTTTTAGTAAACAAATGAGGTTCAAACAAGAGTAAAATGTAATTTTTAAAATAAAGATTTTTTAGGTAACAAACCTACTAAAAGTGTAAAATGTGGATTTTTTTAAAAGTTTATAGTGTAAATTAATTAATTTAAAGTGAAAAATGTGAATAGAGTGTGTTTAAAGTGGTGAAATAGCCACTTGAAATGTCCGAATTTTGCGAATTTTTGAACTTTGAGGTCGAATATCTCCTAAACTAAGCGTTTGCGGTACCTATAACCCTATATATTTTTTGATCAGGAGAACGTACTCTTTCCAACGGTACCTTCAAATCGCGGCGCCAAAGAAATCGGAATTGTGCCTGATATTTAAATGCGAATGTCTCACAAACCATAAGTCAGCGGTAAATGACAGCAAAACATTTTTTTATAAATACAGCATGTGGTGTGCAAGGTACTGTAGAAATTGTTAAGACAATTATTGCAAATGGTTTCATCTGTAGTCTTCTTTGGTATTATAAACAGCAAACTCGATTACCGGATAGAGAAATCTCCGATCTCTATCGCCGATTTATTACATCAAAATTTGTTACTAAAGGAAAAGAGTTGATATGGTATTTTAAATGTACATAAATTATGATAAATATGGTTCTTCTTTGGAGATCCTATTCGGGGTGTTGTATAAAAGCTGCAAAGGTATGATATGTTTTATTAAGAGAGACAGTTGAACTAACTCATAATTAAGTTTACTAGATATTTCCGCATGTATCACGTATCAAATCATTTTACTTCTGTACGAAAATGTCCAAACGTGGTAATAGTACCTGTTACAACAGCACCATTCATTGCTCAAAAATATAACAATGAAATTAAAGGTTTAACCCAAATTGTAACTGGAAATAATATTAAGGGTAACTTATGGCAGCCGAGCCCAAATACCCAGTTAAAACACATGAGTTATTTTCAAAAATTGTCGAAATTTCGTTTGACGTGTAAGTATACATATATTTAATAAATGTTGCAGTAATAAACATCTTAAATAATATTTTAGCTCTTGTGGTTATAACTGCGATGAGTGGATATGCATTGGCCCCTGCTCCTTTTGAGCTCTATTCTTTTCTATCATGCTCGTTGGGTACGGGCTTGGTTTCTGCTGCCGCGAATGCCATTAACCAATATCATGAAGTACCATTTGACTCTCAAATGTCTAGAACTAAAAATCGCGTTTTAGTAACTGGACAGATAACACCTCTCCATTCAATTGAATTTGCTGTTACATCAGCAACGGCGGGGTTGAGTTTGCTATATTTTGGAGTAAATGGGTTAACAGCTACTCTAGCAGCTTCGAACCTGTTTTTATATACATCTGTATACACGCCTTTAAAAAGAATAAGTATTATAAATACATGGATTGGATCACTGGTGGGTGCTATTCCTCCGCTAATGGGATGGTCTGGTTGCACTGGAAACCTCGATGTATCAGCATTTGTGCTAGCAGGAGTACTCTTTGCCTGGCAATTCCCTCACTTTAATGCATTGTCATGGAATCTCCGGCCCGATTATTCGCGTGCTGGATATCGAATGATGTCTGTGACTAATCCTGCACTATGTCGACAAACAGCTTTGAGATATACTGCATTAATTGCATTGTTATCCGCATCTGCGCCTGTTTTAAATTTAACTTCATATTGGTTTGCGTTGGAATCATTTCCTTTAAACGCTTACTTCTTATATTTGGGTAAGTTAATAATTATTTATGTGATACACTAATGTATAATTAGTACTAAGTGACATCTAATTAAAATACGATTAACGAGCAGGATCTGTAATTCAATTCCAAGTGAATTTCAATCCAGTTTACTTTCAATCCCACATTCGTTGTACTTTATTTCTCTATTTGATATCCGTATCTTTTTTTTTTTAATAAATTCGAAGTGGAAATGAGTTGAATGTTGTAAGCTCGCTAATTAAGATGTTTCCGCAGAATGCTCCATAAAGAGGTTGGACGATGTTGCGACGATGGCGGATAAAGTCTTTCAAGTCTTCTTCGTCTGTTCGGACAACATGAACTATGTCAATGTCGTCATATATCTCATACAGTTGTTTGATGACAGGAGATATTTCATTTGTGTTGCTTCCTTGTCCAGTCTGGAGAAAGCAGAACTTATTTAAGTTATTTGTTATTAGTTTGCACTACTTTCAAACGTTGTTCCCGAGTAAATCCATTCATTATAAAGTGACAAATCAAACTGAATATAAATAAAGCAACACCACATGTCTAAACAAGTAAGGAAGGGCTAAGTTCGGACGAAGCTGAACATCTTATATTTTTGAAATTTACGAAATCAACTCCTAGGAAATACCTTAAAAAGTAAAATGTCAACTAGAGAATCGGATTCCAAGCAATTTTATGTATACATACATATAACTCGTACACTGACCGACATGTTGCTGTTGTTGTTGTTGTTGTTGTTGTAACGGCAGAATTCTTTATAGATTAGATTAGAATATTATGCCATTATATCTTATTATCGGCGCCGCGATCTGAAGGTGGTTTAGGTGGAAAGAGGAAGTCCTGATAAAAAAATATACAGGGCTATAGGTACCGCAAACGCTTATTTTACGAGATATTCGACTTTAAAGTTCAAAAATTCTCAAAATTCGATCATTTCAACAAGCTATTTCTCCACATTTAACACAATTTATGAACATTTTTCACTTCAAATTCATTTAATTAAACTCTGATCATTTAAACAAATTCACAATTTACACTTCTTGCAGGTTTTACAAGTAAGAAATTTATGTTTTAAAAATAACTTTTCACTTGTAGTGAACATCATTTATGTGCTAACAGGATGAGGAAATGGTGCGTTGCCATATGATAATAAGAAAGTATGAGCAATTTCATGAAATTTCTCTACTTCGCTATAATTCCTCTTTCTTTATTTAGAAATCCTAGTTCTAATTAAAACAAGCATCTATAAATTATATTTGAAATTAAAATAAGTATAATCAATCCATGCACTTCGATATTTTCTTATTTAAATTTAATATTGAATAATAATATATCGTAACAAAGTACTTAAATTTTTAAAAGAGTACTACGCAAAAGTACCTCAGTCACCTTGTGTAGGAAGACCGATTCGTTTCGTGGTTGCGTCTGAACTGACTCTTCTTTATTTTTTCTCGCATTCATGTCGCAAGTTACAAGTTTTAAAAAATACATCAGGGTTGCTTATTCGAGTAACATTAAAATAAGGTCCGATACAATTTCAAAAGTACAACAGGGTTGCTTATTCGAGTAACATTAAAATAAGGTATGATAYAATTTCAAAAGTACAACAGGATTGCTTATTCAAGTAAYATCAAAATAAGGTAACGATACAACATAATACAGTAATCACATTTACATTGCTACACTTGGGAATTGGCTCGTCGAGGCTCTTTTTCAAGCGCGGCCAAAGGCCGCTTACGCAGAGAAAAGTTCTACGCGAAAATATTTCAGTCACCTCGATATAATATACATTTTATAATATTATCATAGAGTTTTACTTATTTGTGTATATTAAATATAAATCACCTATTATACATATGTTGTTGTTGTTGTAACGGCATATAGATARTGTTGATATCTCAATTATAGCTTGATATATATTATAAGTAGTTAATATAGAAAAAATAATTACACGAAAATACAAACAAAAAAATATCATTGAAAATCCTCCATATTTTGTGTTTAAGATGTGACAACGCTCGTTTTCCTCATAATTGTAAACAATCTAACCTTTTCAGCGATGAGTCTGCTAGGTGATTTTTAAATTAATAAATATAGCTAAAATAAAATAAAAAAAACTTAATTACGAAATTATTTCAATGTTTAGAGAGTATATTTAAAGATATTTAAAGACATATTCAGTCTGGAGAAAGCAGAACTAACGGCGCGGATGTTGAGGCCGATGACATCAATATCATCGGCATACGCCAGCAGCTGTACACTCTTATAGAAGATTGTACCTTCTCTATTTAGTTCTGCAGCTCGAATAATTTTCTCCAGAAGCATGTTGAAGAAGTCGCACGATAGGGAGTCGCCTTGTCTGAAACCTCGTTTGGTATCGAACGGCTCGGAGAGGTCCTTCCCGATTCTGACGGAGCTTTTGGT